GGTGCCAAAGATGTCTTTTTAAAGTTTACATCCAATTTTATCTACTGGTGATACCAAAATCATTGTACGTGCCTTTAAAACTTTGCTTTGCTCTTGTTTCCATCCATCCATCCATTCATTATCTATACACCGCTTAATCCTCATTAGGGTCGCGGGGGGGCTGGAGTCTATCCCAGCTGACTCAGGATGAAGGCAGATTCACCTGGACAAGTCGCCAGTCTATCACAGGGCTACACTTAGAGACAGACAACCAAGCACACTCACATTCACACCTACGGACAATTTAGAATCACCAATTAACCTCAACATGTTCTTGGACTGTGTGGGAGGAAGCCGGAGAACCCGGAGAGAACCCACACTGCACAGGGAGAACATGCAAACTCCACGCAGAAAGATTCCGGTGTGAACCGGCAACCTTCTTGCTGCGAGGCAACAGTGCTACCAACTGCGCCACCTTGCAGCCCCTCTTATTTCCATTGGGTTCAAAATGCAGTAAAGAAGTTACATCATTTTTCACTTTTGAGCTGATTTCTTACCTTTTCTGAAATGCTACAAATTCAGAGGCCCAAATCAGGCAAGTCTGCAGCATATCTGTAGGTTTAATTCTTCGTCTTGTTTCTCCGTGCTATGATTTTTCCGAATTTCTTTTGCTGACTGAAAGCTCAATGATATTATTGTTTTATTTAACTATTTACCTGCAGTGGGATTCTGTATGTGTGAATATTTGTGTGGATGGAACCCATACTTGTGTCCGATGTACTCCTTGTGGGATATTACACTTTAAACAAAGTGAAACTGACTTGTTGGAACACGTCATACCCCCTAAAAGGCAGAAACAAAAGAGCACTACTGTGGTATCCCTCAGGGCTCCATTCTAGGACCCACATAGTTTGATCTGGACATGCTGCCACAAACTGTCTTGTTGCATTATTATGTGGATGTCACACAGCTTTCTGCAGTTTTACAGAGACAAAGCTGAGTTTTGGGCTAATGAAAGGAGACTTCCCTTTGTGCTCATTTAAAAAAGCTGCCTTTGAATAAATCGCCTCGGTGCCCTCTTTAATTGTGACCTGTCCTTTGAATCCGAGGTGAGAAACAACACTTAAATTGCATTTTATCGGCTCAGAAACACTGGTCATGTGCAAATGTTTCCGTCTAAAGGAGACACTGAAAGACATTTTTTTAACTTTTGTAATTCTCAAACTTCAAATGATCCAGAAGGCAGCAGCACATCTTCTCACCAAAACTAAATGTAGAAAACTTGACTGCAGTTTTAAAGGCTCGTCACTGGTTCTCTGTTCCTTTTAAGATTTTAGTTTTAAGTTTTAAATCACTTTATGGATTTTCTCCTGACTATTTACATCATTCGTTGGCAAGCTATGTCCCTCTAGATCCCGAAGATCCTCTGACTTCTTAAAGCCTCTTAAATTTTGCCCAGAGTAGGACGAAGGTGTCTGGAGATGCTGCGTTCAATGTCGTCAGCCCTCAACTCTGGAATATCCTTGTAGAGGAGGTTGGAGCTAATAAATAGTTTTAAATGAAACCTTAAAACATACCTTTTTAGGCATGCGTTTATGCAGTTTCATGCATTTTACTGCTTTTACTATTGACTCTTGCATTATTTTTAACAATTTATTTCAATTTATTTTAGTCTGTTTTGGGAAACAAAGCTCTGAGTTGCACCTGGTTCATAAAGTGTGCAATATAAATGAAGTTATTATTATGAAGTTATTCTAAATGTTTAATTGGAAACATTTAACAATAACACATCTCTGAAACGATTCACAAAAAGACAGGAGAAAAAAAATGAGGCCAAAGTCAAGGGAAAAAACACAAACTTTATTATCTCCTTTTTACAAAACATTTCAGAATCACTCTCAGTAAATAATAAATCCAAGACGGACCTTCGTGGTGCAAATGATCAAACTCAAACATGATCTGACACCTTTCCTCAAACAGCGTAATGAATCATCTGCTACCTCAGTGCTAACCTTTAATTTTTTGCTGCTCTAGCACAGTAACAAAAAAAAGTGGCAACGAATCAGTACAAATGACAAAAGCAACACGACGAGATGCGTTCGACTTGCACAGCATCGTACAGTGATGAGAACACAAGCAATGCCATGAGTATGAAACACAGAAGTATGGCGATCGAAAAGGCAACTGAGATGTTTGCAAATTGGTCGCACTGCAAAGTGTCTGCGTCTTGGTTGGTCTGAGTGCACCTAACCAGCAGACACCTTGAACCTACAAACCATTAGCGTGCACTTTACAGAAGATATTAAACTGCTTTAATGATCAGGTTCTGCAGATGGTGGATAGGTTTTGAATGACGCCTAATGCTGCATTCATGAAATGTCAGCAGAATGGAAAAGCACCCCGTATACTGACTTGATGGTGTTCATGCATTATTCCAAGGTGGTGAGCCCCAGCGTACCTGATAAATAGCCTGAATTAGCTACTTTTTGTTGTGTCGAGCATTTGAAGCACTTGGCTGCCACATAAAACCACATACGGTGTATAATCCTTACAAAAATTGGTTGTTTTAGTGTTAATATTAGATTCTATACTGATGTGACTGCCAGCAGCAATGCATTTGCAGCCACTGTGCCAACAGTTTGTTGACATGTCTGTAGCTACTTTCACCAAGAGGGACATTTCACCTGTGTCAGAAATTCATCATTTCTGACAGATGTGAACGGCGTTTTCCCCCTTCCAGTTTGAACAATATGACATTAAAAAAAAAAAAGCCCTCAAAAGGCCATTTGTTCATCCGGCTGCATCCAGATGAGTGATAATAATGTACAGATTTACATTTGTACGTGTGCAGCGATGGTACATGTGTAAAAACTAAATATCATCATAACATGAGAAAATCAGCAAATGGCAGGAACATGAGTCCGAGCTGTAACAAATCATATCCCACAAACATACTCATATAAATACAATTTGACTAAAGAAGATTTAGGCTGCAGGAGTGAAGTGTCTCCTTGTTTTAAGAACTTTAAAAGCAGTAACAGCAACAGTGAGATAGAGCAAATATAAATCGTTAGAGTGCCGGGGCCGCCTGACTGCTGAGCGGTGAGGGTGTAAAACAAAATGCCCTCAACAAACGACCCTCAGCAGGCTAGAGCGTTGCTGTATGTCATTCCCCTGCTCTCCCTGTCTCGCTCGTGTATTCCAACTACAGCTACACAATAAAGGCAAAACAGCCAAAAAATAAAAAAATGCATATTTGAAATTTCTGGAGATATTAAATATTTCACTGTAACAATAAAGATAGAATTTTTGATCTGACAGCCAACAATCTGAAATGAGGCCATTCGTTTATGTTCTCGCAGAAAATGCAAGAAAGTCTTGGTTTTAATTTACATTTCATATTCAAGATAACACAAAATAATCTGATCATATAACACTGTGTGTATCTAGTGTAATAAATTGTAATCACAATTTCAAAGAAGCCATCCGTAACAGATCCCAGGTTGAGAGCAATCCTCCCAATCTAATAAAATTCAGAACCTTTCCATAAATAATCACCTGTGTTCTATTGTATACATCATTCAGCTCTGACGCACCTGATTAAAAAGACACCAGTGCAGGAGTTATAACCTACTATGACGTGTAAATTTTTTTGCAGTTAAATGCATTTCAAAATACATTCAGCTTTAGATCAAACAGGGCCGTAAGCTGGGTGTCTGTTCGCTCGTAGATTCGATGGGCAAACATCAGCGAGAACAGATACACAGTCGGTACAGTAGATGGCACCTGCACAGAGCCATACATGTATGTAAGCAAGACTAATAACTGATTTATACGTCAATGCATACATTGAAAAATGTTTCCAATTTGTATATAGGCCAGTGTTTCATACATGCTAACCAGATACACGCTATGTTCCCGTATATCTCAAATGGCTTGTCTCCTTTCAAACTATAATAGGCGTCTGTGAGGACGGAGCTGAAAAACAGGCACGATGACCATGAAAGTCTTTGCAGGCGCTGTTCAGCCCTTTTGACGCACAAAGAAATCTGAAATGAGCTACATGTGACACACAATAGGCCTTTCCATATGGCCCATGCCTCGTATACATAGTTGCTACGAGATGGCAGCATGAATAACATGATTATATGGTTGTGGAGTATAGGTGAATAAAATGGGGCATATTAATAGCATGCATTTGTATTTCACCCTTCGCTGCAGTCATTTTATTCATCATGTTTCCGTCCCACCTCTTTGTCAGGTCTCACATGAAACTCGGAAAGACTGATCTGTGCATTAGGCTGGGTGTTTATCGGCCCGCGCCGCGGGTCATTTTTTTAAACTGGAGTCCATTTTCCTTTCGCCATTCAAGTCTGTGTTTCCACCTGTTTGATTTTCAAAATGGATTTGAAATGCAGTAGGTTTTTGTGCGTCATGCAGATCATTCTATAGTGTACATACAACACTAAGACAAACAGGCAAGTGTCTACAGGCACACGGGAGAACACTCGTCTCATCAATCATGGAATCAGTGTGAAATCAGCTGGAATAAACATTAGTGTTGAGTAATGCAGTGTCACAGCTAGTCGACTAAAAAATGGGTCACTGCATAAAGACGGAGGAGGGACAACCTTGATCGAAACTGTTGTACCAATCGTGTAGCTTTACTTTGCATTCGCTTTCAGATGCCTGCAGCACAAAAAAAACAAGAAGAAAACGCACAGTGACGAACGTGAGGTAAAAAACAAAGGGTGCGGCGCATGAGATGCCAATGAAAGGTACTAGAGTGTCAAAAAAGTAAAGCGACCTTTCAGAAACAGAAACGACAGGGCTTCGGATAGGCGCGAGGAGGAATCAGCAGGAACAGTGCAGATACACATGTTTACAGCAAAATACGAGAAATGATCAAAGTCACTAAAATTATCCGGACGGTCAATCAAACACAGAGAAATCAATAAAACTAGGTGCAATGCCGTTTTGCTCAAGGGTCATGTGATGCACTGAGGGAAGATGGGTAGAAATTAGAGTGTGCCCATTCCAGTGACTTCAGACGTCAGCCTAAAAACAGTTGAAGGGAGAAAGGAGGGGGGGAGGGAGGGAGAGGAGAGGGGAGTGAGGGGTGGTAGACAGAAAATAAAACAACTGTGAAAGAGGAACTTTCGCTTGGAAGTGAAAGTTATGCTGCGATGGCTGGCTTTGTGCTTGAATTTCCTGGCACATTTTGTTCACAGAGACTTGACACCGTGCATTTCATCGTACCCTCGCACATAGAACATTCCTACTGATATGGCGACGTAACCATGCAGCGCTAACCCCCTCGTGAAGCCATGCAGTGGACCGAAAAAAAATGATGGTGTCATGAAATATCCAACTGTTGTATTCCCTGACGGAGGCATCACATCACTCTTCCTTCTAACAGCATTGCTCAGTGGCAGTCATGTGTTCTGTTGGTTTTTTTTTTCTTTGCTTTTATTTTCTTTTCCATTTTTTTTTTAAATTTTACTCTTTGCAGACAATGACACAATAGGACTTAATAGGCAAATTTATCTAATATAGTAATGACAAAAAAAAGAAATACAATATTATTCTTGGAATGAGGCATGCTAAATAAATAGTGAAAGGAATCGTTTGACATTTTTGTTTTGCGCTCACAGAAAGTAAGATAGTACTGTCATGTCAGTCCATTGAATATGAAGCTGGAGCCAGGAGGCCATTAGCTTAGTTTAGCATGAACGCTGAACAAAAGGGGGGGAAACAGCTTACCTGGCTCTGTCAGGGGGCAACAAAATCTGCCCACTTGCACTTTTAGACTTCACTCATTAACATGCCAGAGCTTATTTGTTCGCTCGGTGTAAAACTGACGCCTTAAAAAAAACAGTAATGGTTTTACAGGGTTGGGTCTGGAGTCTTGGGGATATGGAGCAAACTTTTAAATGGCACAAAAATGTTTTAAACACAATTAGGATTGTGTCCATTAACTGTTTCTTGTGTTGTCAGGTTACACGTGGCTGTAATAAAAGTAGAAGCACCTGACTCAGATGTTATCCCATTAAATTGTCTGTGATCAGCATATCATTCCCATGCATATAGGCCAGTAGGGATCTCTTCCATGTTCTAGTCCAACTTTTGGAAGTTGGAGATGATGGAGCAGAGAAGTTTAGGCACTAAAACTACTTGGTAAGGTTTAAAAAAGCATCATGGCTTGGGTTAAAACACACCATGATGCTACATTTACAAGCTCCATTTTGTTAGTTTCTAGGGTGATCAGATTTTAGATGTACTTATTCACACCCCTGCAAGAGGTCGCTGATGTTATCGGGGCTACTTTCTGTTTATCAGTGCTCAGAATGGATGGTAGTGGGCCAGCTGAGCCTACTAGAAGGTGGAGGAGGTCCCTGTTCAACTGTATATGTGGCAATGACATGCACTGATAACAGGCCAGCTAATGAGCTGATAACATCTGAATTGGGTGGTGGAGGAAGAAGCCGGAAACAAATACCTTGTTTGCCAACCTCTAAAAAAAACCTTGAAGAAGAACTGGAAACAAACAAAACTTTGATCAGATTAAAAAAAAAAAAGGATGTATACATATCCCATAATGTGCCTCAACTCTTTATCAGAATTTGGCATGTTATGTCAGGTTTTCCCATTTCCATGAGCTTTCTCTAATGCTCATAAAAACACAGCTGTTGTGAAGTTTCCAGGCAATCAGCACGCTAATTAGTCAGCATTAGAGGTGCTGCCGGGTGGATTCTGTTTGCTATGGAAAGAGCCCGACTCGCTGTTTCCTGCATTTGCGCTAATCTAACCGCTTCCATCATATAGCTTCATATTTAAGAGACAGAAAGTGATATCAATCTTCCAATCAGCCTCTCTGCAAAATGTCAAACTATTCTTTTGTCAATACACTGGCTACATCAATTTTGAACAAATCCCAGGGTTGGTACAGGTCTCCCCACAGGCTAATGCGTTAAGTGTTGTGCACAACCAATTGAGTATAGTGAAAGTTCCACAGGATAACACATAGAGGTTAATTGTGAAGCTGTGGGTGTTTGGATGTCAGCTTCTGAAAACAGAACCAGATTTGGGGGGGTTGGACTTCAGGATGTTGTCATGGATGAGGGGTCATTCCACATGGCAGCCACGTCCCTGAACCTGCCATTGGAATTGTGGGAAAGCAGCAGCCATTAGTTTCTTTGCGGACTCGTCTCCGAAATGCCCATTTCAGAAGTCAAAAACATAAAGTCCTGTTTGCTGAGCGTATGGCTTCTCCTGCGCTAACGCTGATAACATTTGACTTTGAGGTGCAGGTGGCCTGTGGACATCAGTGACGCTCAGTTTTCTCAGAGCAGCGGATTTTACATTTATTTTCACTGTTGATAATGAATTAGAGGTTTCAGTGGATACAGGGAAAAAGAGGTAGCGGAGCACGGCAAGGAAAACTGGCATGCACACTCCAGCCCTGGTTTAGATTGCCCTGGGATTTAACAGATATTGTCTTACACTCATTTGCTTTTCATTTAATTACACTGATGGCTTATGTGCAAAAACACTATCTTGCGTCTGCGATATTAGACATTCTTTATATCGTGTTGCTTTATAGATTCATCATGAACAAATTGGCTAACATTTCAAACTGAGGTAGGCATTGAACATTTGATGATTCATTTATTGATCATCCAATTTACTAATCTGCAGGTTTGGTTCAAAGACACAGCTTACTTGTCTCAGTAGCTGGCATTGCTCCCATGAGCCACTTACTTGCAAAGAGTGTTCTTGCAGAAACTTAATGCATTTTAATGTCTTCACTTGGGTGGAAATAAGGAACAAAAGTAGAAAGGAACAACCAGGAAAAAAAAAACTTGAGTAACCACATTATTCATCAGCCTCTTGTCTAAACTTGACAGATACTGTGCATTTTCTGGCAACTCATCAAAGTATAAGTGTCATGAGTGTCAAACTAGTAAGATATTTCTTTCCTCTCCAAATAGCACAACCACAGATAGCAGAGTTCTTGGATCTTCACTATGAGCGTGGCCATTCAGATGTTGCTTTTATCTTTTAGATTGTGCTGGAGCCCAGCAGTTAGAGTTAAAAGGTTACCTGGCATTGATGAGATACTGGGCCAGACTGATGTTAGCAGGGGTCCCTGTGATGGTGATCTGGCGCTCTGACGAGCCCTCCATGGCATTCGCAATTTTGATCTGCGCCCCAGACATCTGTCGAATCTCATTTATTTTGGTTCCCTGGCGTCCAATAATGCAGCCTATTAGCTGCAGAAAAAAGCAGAAGTCTTTGAACCTAAAGCCAGGAAATCTGTGCGATGTCTCAAAGCATTTATATTTAACACCGAATACGTTTAACATAGAAAAGGAAACCTAATGGGTTATGAAATGATCCGAGTTTAATTTAAATGCAGGAAATTAAGTCTGAATAATGATGGCATGGTCAGTAAATCAGCTTATGGGGGGTATTCTGCTGTGTCAACAGTAAGAACTAAAGTTTGCAGGATCATTGTTGGTAATGTCAATCATTTGCTCATATAGCAGTAATAGGTTTAAAAAGGCAGGGATACCTCACTGCACTGCAAATGTTCCCCTTATCTGCTAATTGCCGATTAACGCTTTCACCCTTCCTACTAAAAATGTATTAAGTAATTAGAACAGTGTGCTCTCTGACAAAAGTCTGAATCATCTTTTGTATTACGCTATCATACAGACTTTTTAAACTGCTTTTTTTGACATCCTTTCAAGCTCTCTATATATCTATCAGTGCTTTCTATCTATCTTTCTATATATATATCAATTGAAAGACACATTATTATCTTCAACTCTCCAGGATTACTCACATCATTAGGAATGGTGAGTTCATGGGTACTGGCTGGTGGACTGGCATCCAAACCTGAGTTGGGGAGCAACAGTATAAGAAACAAAATCTGAATTTATATAAAGTCATTTTAACAGAGATGAAACCTTGAAAAGAATGATTTTTTGTCATTTTGGAATATACATGCTTGTTCGCTTGTGGGGCTGGGGCTTGACTTAGATTAGGATTTTCATGAAACCATGAAGCCAGCAGACAGTTAGCCTAGCTTAGCACAAAGACTGGAAATGGGGGGAACCACTATCCTGACCCAGTCCAAAGATAATTCAGGACGTCTTCCAGCAAGATAGCAGGGCTAAGCTAAGCTAACTTAGCTATCTTGGCTCAAGCCTCATATTACTTAAGCATCCCAGACTCACAAAAAAAATGTGTAAAACCTACAATGCAAAATATATTATTTCAACTAAAGTGAATTGTGAGATGCATAAATTTTTTTCGGGACAGAATTCGTCACCCGAGCAGCGTAGAAAACAACTGAAGCTTCATGTTTACCATTTGCAGGGATGGTTTATAACTTAAACCATCATCTTTTCCTAAACCTAACCAAGTAGGTTTGGTGCCTAAAGTTTACGAAGTAGTTTTATAGTGTCAATAAAAAGAAAACAGAAACTAAATACAACAGTGACAGACCTTAAGAATCAACAATAACTCAAAATGCCACAAAACAATGTTCCACACAGGACATGGACACGAGTTTTAGGCAGAAAGTGAGGCCAGTGTTACACTTAACTCACCCACAGTTTAAAATGTGTGTTTGCTACGAGGACAACAGTGTTCAGAATATGTAGATACGTGCATTTATGGAAGGGAGTCTTCCAGAAAGTAGTAGAAAAACAACAACTGTGTGTCCCTGGATGGAGTGTGGTTCTTTTTATGCGTAAAGAGAAAGAAAGTCAGTCACATGATGTGGATGCAGGACAACAGAACAGTTTCACAGCCTTTAATGTGAAGATAATACGTCTCCGTGCTACCAATGAATGTAGCTGTTATGCATTTTAACATGAGGCGGTGTTGTAATGTGGGTATGAGTATGATCTTCTCAGATAACTCACCACTTTAAAAGTGTTGTTGGGGTACTTGTTCTCCCACAGCATCCAGTGTTTCTGCAGAGCTAAACTAACTGCTGTCGATACTATAGAATTTTCTTAAGATCCCCACAAGAAAGTGAAGGTGGCATGAACAGAGTAAAAAACGTACAGTTGTGACTCGATAATCCGACCCTTAACAATCCGAAAACCTTGCTATCTGACAAGTTTTTAGGAAAAACGAACGGAACCCATTAAAAACAGCCTTAACATACCTACAGCCTTGGATTCCAACTTCGACATGACATTTTATGTCACAAATAAGGATAACGGTGTATTGTCTGACTGAACAATCCGACAGATTGGCTACGTTCAGACTGCAGGACTTAATGCTCAATTCAGATTTTTTTGTGAAATCTGATTTTTTTGCGAGTTTGTTCACATTTCCAGTTAAATGCGACTTGTATGTGATCTCCTGTGTGAGCTTCATACGACCCAAAAGTGTCCCGCATGCGCAGAAAAGGACACGACGACATCACACGCAGCAAACCTGCTCAGTGTTTACGGAAGTAAGCACGGATGGTAACAGTGGAGCGTATCTGCCAATCCCTCGCCGCCACTGCCACCGCCACCAATGGTGGAAACAGAACTGTAACCGCTAACTAAACCGGCATCAGCAGCCAAGCACTGCCTGTGTGTTCCAGCCACTTCCAACCCATTGGAGCGCACTGCCGGGGTGGAAGTGGTCCCCCGACCACGGAGAATATTCAGATATTCATCATTAATTGGATCTGTGTTGTTCAGACTGTCATGAAAAGATCAGATACAGGTCGCATAGGAGGAAAAAAAAATCGGATTTGGGTCACTTCAGCCTTCTGTCTGAACGTATTTACCTTTGATGTCAACCGATGGGCCCGTGCACAATCGCACCGGTCAATTAGGTGTGAAATCCAGCGATGCGTAGTGTTCTAACAATATACTAGTTCTTATAACAACTATAAACAATAAATATTAACAACAAATGACCCTTCAAGCATCAAGCCCTCCTTGTATCTCGACCTCCGTCTTGACAATCCGACAGCCTTGCTATCCGACATAAAAGAAGGTTTTAAATTTAGTGTCGGATTATCAAGCCACGACTGTACTTCCCAAAGGATGAAATTGTTCCTTTAAGAATGAACGCTTATTCCGCTTTGGAACCTTTAATTGAAATTTCACTGACATCTGTCCTTATAAAATGGTATGTATAAGACTTTGTAGGATGGAAGAAAAAAAAATGGAAAAACACATTTAATAGTGGGCCCATTGTCTTGAAGAGCCTCGTTGATTCAACAGCTTATCCCATGTGCGATGGTAATTTCCACGTCCTTTTGGGTGAAAGTTTACTTACAAAGCCTTCCTTTGTTCTTTTGCAAGTAAATATGCAGGGCATGATCCAGGCAGGCTAATACGTGTACCAAGGGCTATCTGAAACAGTTTCAAGTCAAACGTGGAGATTCAGTTGATCGCTATAGTACAATGTGGCTGAGCTATTCCCCTGGAGGTTTTCATCTTTAAATGGAAAGTAAAAAAAAAAATTTGTTAGAGGAAGAATGTATCCTGTTTCCAAGCGATAATGCAAGTTTGAATGCATAATTTTAAAGTGAAGCCCGGTGTCATTTTTTTCCCCCTCCCCTTCGCTGGCATAGTATCAGACAGAGCCAAGAGAAAAATATATACATGGAAAAAATCAAAGGATAGAAACCACGGGGGCCAAGACATGCTGTGCCAAAAGAGAGATAAGGTGCAAGGTAGGGAAAGAGAAAAAATGTTTCTCTGGATGCAAAGAGGAGGAAGTAACTATAGGGCCTTGTGGGTACGTACCAGGGAAAGCAGGGGTGGTCTGTCCGAGAGGGGTAAAGGGGGTTTGCTGCATAGCCAACTGGTGGAGCTTGGTCAACTGCTGAAGGGTTAGGAGGGAAAGTAGAACTAAGAGGTTACTGTTACACAGGACACACCAAGAAATGAAGCCAACCAAAACTAGAGTGAAGAAACGGTGAGGAGAAGGAGGCCATGACACAGGGTGGTGGAGGACAAAAAGTAAGAGAAAAAGAGATACAGAGAGAGGGTGATTGTCTGTCATGGAGAGGTGAACTGCTGTATAATTTGATTCATTTTTTTGTTCTTTTCTACCTGTCTCCTTTTTAATTTCACACACTCCAAAGTATTTTTTTTTTTTTTACAAAAAATGGATCCACTGGTGAGCACATTGACATTAAATGCAGGAAATCATCTAATTTGCCCTCTCAGTTACCATGTGCTTCTCTAGTCGGCACTGATGACTCACACCCGGTGAACCTTTGGTTTTACATGGCTGTCAGAGCCACCGCTTCCCCCCCAACTCCCACCCCCCGAACATGGTCACAGGATGTCCATCCCTTGCTGTATATCATTTCCATCAGGAATGAGGGAAGACGGATGCTTTAAAGGCTTCTTCTCCTTTTAAGAGGAGTTTTAATGAGGGTGGAAGAGGGTGTCAAGTCTGTACTTGAGTGATTGTACCGTCAACCACCACCTCCACCGGCATCAATCACTGCCCAACTTTGAATTAGTGGATCTGACACGAGGTAGCTCTTGAGATGCTCTTACGACAAGGACAGATGAAGGCAGATTATTAATGGAGACTATATGGTCCACTGGAATTAAAGGGGTGTCTACATCAAAACTGCCATTACTGTCTTTGCCTTTATCATTAGCACCAGGCGTCACTGTTTGTTATCGACCAGATCTTCCCGGTGGTTGAGCTGCAGTATGACCTTTAACTATAGACAGACAGCGATTTTGGAAGTGCTAGCACTGTATGACTTCCCTCTAAATCACTTAAAGCAGATGATGTGTCTGTAGGAATAAGATGTCCGCTGTGAATATAATCCAGAGACAAGTGTCGCTATTGGTTTGAATGAAAAGGAGACTAAGAACTCACATCTGGGTGTGGTATGGCGTACTGTCCCTGAATTGTGTAGGCCTGAAAAGAGGGGAAAAAAAATATGAGAGAGAGCAGATTTTACCATCAAGAGGAAAAACAAATCAAATGAAGAACAAATCAGCTCTGACAATCTACGCTCTGTACAAACAACCCTTTGCACATTTAGCTCAAATAACATATCAAAGACGCTGATTGGAAATTCATTATGATTTTCAGCAGCGATAGTGGCGTTAAGTGATATCACACTTATGATGATACACTTAATCATATGCACCGTTAGCATATTTAAAGCAGTAACTGAAACAGCATGTCACATGTAGATGAATATGAAGTCCAGTGAGACCTTCAGAGACCTTCGTCAGAGTCTTAGGAAAACAACCACTTTCACGGCTGGCAGGAAGTGTTGGGCTACTTTATGTTGTACACTTTGTCAGCGCAGAGGACTCATAAAGTTTCATTTTAAGGTCATAAATTCAATGCTACAGACAAAACAAAAAAAAACTGCCAAGGTCTCAGAATTATTAAATCCCAGACTAGACTGTGGAAATTGAAGCTAAACATATCATATTTCGTGCAAGGGTTCACATTTAAATTCCAAAAAAACTGGCATGGGCACAACAACAGAGTGACAACATCAAAAACTACACCTCAAAATAAATGGATTTTGTATGAAAGCCTTGGACAATGTGTGCAAGGACTGGATTGTGCCATATTGTGAGCCATGTCTCCCAAAAATGATGTTTCTATACAACCAAACTGCATTCTCAGTTGCATTTTAATGGAAATGTGTGTCGTCACATTTTTTTCTGTGACATATCATGAGTACTTTTTCATCCAACATATCTTTGCCACCTGATTAAATATGAGACAGGTCAGGATGTACCACCCTGGCAATCCAGAAAGTAGAGGAGAGGCTTCAAACATTAATATTTTAATCCAAAACATGATATTTTCCAAAACATAACAAGGTAGTTCTGGTGCCTGTTCCTCACCAAACAGCAACTGCAGTGAAAAATGTAAAATAATGTTTCCATGTGGGAAAAGACTCCCAGTCTCCTCGGCGTTACCAAAAGCAATATGTTTCTTTCATAACATGAGAATACAGCTTAATTGTAAGAGAACCAACTTTTAGGGGATCCAAGGTTGATATCGCAGGTACTTTCCTGTTCCTCTCAAACCTTTGTTCTTTACTCTCCAAAATTTTTCAAAACAGGCCTTTGTAGTATGTCGTCTAAAGACTCTGATTGCGTGGCATTGATTGCACACTGGGTTTGATTTCCAGACAAAAGAAAAGCTCCCAAATCTGAGTCATTACAAGGGCGCTGTGTATCTCAAATCTAACGCTTTTGTTTGCTAAATTTTCAAATGCATTCAACAGATTTTAGCCGAAATCTGCAACTGCATCCTCTGCATTCGCTGGACAGACATTAGTATTCACCCAGCATCTTTGCTGACATAAATGTCATTGTTGCTGAATCAAACATTATGGTGCAACTGCCTCCCTCTCCCTCCTGTGTGTGCACAGACCACCCAACCAACAATGACTGTTGGTCAGAGACAATGAGACGCAAATTAAACAAACTACAGCTGACCTCCCAAAGACATCTTAGTGGCAACATATTGCATTATTTCTGTCACTGCTGCTGACAGCGAACATCAGTTGCACGACTGCATGAGGTCACACACAGGTTCATTTCAGTGTTTAAACATACAACTAATGCTGTCTAATGGGAACGGTCAGTCTTCTGCTCAAAAGATTGTGTTACCTAAATGAACAGAAAACAGCAAATGTACTTTGAAGGAAACACAATCACAACCAAATCCTATTTTATCAATATATGTATATTATCAAGTGGCAAATACATTGATACTGAACATGTCATTAACATGATCACTGACAGTGTACATTTTTCTGCCAAAATAGCCCTCATTGCTTTATAATTACAAATTATAACCACTGCAGCACTATTCAAATTTTCACAGTGAGGCAAAGATAGCCCTTGGTTGAAGCTGGGGAACGTTCGTGCTCTGGTTTGAGATCACTGTGGTATGAGACACAACACGTTTCCATCCATCCATTAACTACACCCTCTTTATTCCATAGAGGGTCGCAGGCAGCTGGAGGCTTCACTGGCTGACATTCTGCAAAAGGCAGGGTACACCTTGGACAGGTTGCCAGTTCATCATAGAGCTAACACAAAGTCAGCCTCACACTCACACACAGGGCGAGTTTAGAATCATTAATTAACTTACCATGTATATATGTATATATTTAGAATAATCCTTTCCCAACCTCAACCAAAGTACTCTCTTGACTAACCACAGATGGGCTGCAAGTGCAAACTTCGGTCTCAGGCGTGAAAGTCGAGTGTTTCATATGTCAGTCACCTGATTTCATACATGTGTCACTTTAGTCATTGAATAAAAAAAAAAAAGAGAGAAGACACATAATCCAATCCTAGTCAAATCGATTACAATGCCCCTAAATGTTGTTAGGGAAACAATTTCGTTATATGGAAAAGTAATTTCTAGGAGGCAGGGTGGAAAAGTGTACAAGCGTGCATATGAATGTCAAAAAGGCTTGCAGTAAGAGGCAGTGGCTGATGCTGCATTAAGTAAGTCACAAGTTGGCTGTAGGCTCAAACTAATGAGCTAAAGCTAGCTCAGCGCTTACCTGGCCACCAGAAAAAATGACTGGGGTGGAGGCGGGCTTTGGGCGATAAGGGATAGTGGCACCTTTTGGTGGAGACTAGGAGGAAGGCAAGAGAAAGACAACGCAGAGTCAGTCTGAGGCAAACTGCTTTATGTAAAAAAGACAAACACTCACTTAAGGGCACCACTCTCATGTCTATACCCTAAAACAGCGATCAGCTCTAACATTTAAACTACTTGCGTAAATACTGTGTAGGTGACCCTCATGCTGCAAAAACAGCTTTGACCAATTTGGGATTTGACATGAGACCTCTGGAAGCGTTCTGTGGTGTCTGCAGCCGATCCTTTGGGTCCTGTGGGTTGCAGTCAAGCAGCCTGAGTAATGAAGTGCCAGTCAAAGTGCAAAATTGCAGTTCCTCAAATGGCCAATAGAGGCTGGCTCCCAAAACAAGTCAATTCCTATAGACCCCATGTTAAAATGTCCAACTTTACAACAGAAATAAACATTTATGGACTAGTTTAAAAAAAAAAACAAACAAGCAAACAAAAAAACAGTTTTGGTCTCAATAGCAAATTTACAGATTTGTGACAACTGTGAAAGGGTTTGATTTTTGTATGACCAATCTGTTTAACTGTATTAATGTTTAAAACTATGCCTATGTAACGGTGGCAGCTTTGAATGTCAGGCTGGTCCTGTCACAGGAAAGCCCATGGCCTAGAGATGTTTGCATGGCTCCAATTAGTTACATTCATCCTCAACCTGCTAATTTTTGGATTAGCCAGAAGTCAAGAGGAGTCAGGTACAGCCAAGATAGCAACAGGCAGAGGCACCACACTGAGATTAAAGGGAAAATAAACCATTGTTCAGGAGACTCAAAGTCAGTGGTTGCCGGGTGGGGCCTCCATGGATCAGGCTTGCTCTGGTGCATCCTATGAATGCTCGAACAGATTGCAATCTGGGGGGAAGATGTGCTTTGTGTGCAAAAATGTTTAGGTACGTGTCAAAGTAACATGTGCATGAATACCCAAGGTTTCTCAGCAGAAAACTGCTACATACTTAGCCTGTCAGTTGTGTTAATGTGCCGGCTAATTGGTTTACATTAACTGAACATAAAGATTAAAAGCAGGAGAAAAGCAGCTTGACTGGATCTATCCCAAGTCAACAAACTACCAGCACCTCCAGAGTTAGATGACGACATCAATATCCCTCACATACATCCACAAAATATGATAGCACTGGAGAGACTGGAGAAGACGAGGAACAAGTTGTGTCAACTTGCCTGTCAGGAGGAAACAAAATCCACTATAGCGACACCTCTAGTGCCAAGAGTTCAATAAATATCTGGAGCTACAGTCAGGAGCTAATTAGCTTATCTTAACTTAGCATAAGGATGATATGCAGATTAGTATCAGTTAGCCTGGCTCTGTCCAAACACAAGCTGAAAGATTCATAAAAGTCTCCTAATTGTACATCACCCTTTCCATTTTCCAGACCACGAGGCCCAAGAAGTACTCCAGCATTTAATGCCTAGTAAAACCAAAGTCCTTTTATTCCAACACAATTTTGTGGATCAGACAGACAAGACATACAGTGCTGATCTGTGAACCCTGGAGATGCTGGAGACCTCCAGACAGAGCCAGCAAAGCGGCTTTCACCTATTTTAATGCTTTCTGCCCTGTTACACCACGTAGCTGCTGGTTGTAGCTCTACTTCATAGGGGACAGGTGGGATAGTATTGATGTTCTCATGTAAGTCTCCACAAAGGAGCAAATTTATGCATTTCCAAACTATTTTTGAAATACAAACACCCTGGTTTCCCATGTGGTGTGTGTTGTAACGCATGCGAAGCTGGACGCTGATTATAAAACACATGTCCAATAATCCATAGGGCAACATTTTCATTGATTCAGCTGGAAATTCACATATTTCTACTCTCTGTTATCACATTTCTCAAGGTGTTATACTTCCTTCCAGCTGTACCACACTAACAGCATCAAAATTATTCTGAGGCGATGTTGTGTCTTACTGTGAGAAATGTTAAAATTTGCTGGCAGGTTGTGAAAACAACTGGGAAAAAGGAGTCATGAAGATCAAAGGTATTAGCAGTCTCTATTCACAGAGATTAGAAAAATATAAAGACCTGGCATGTGCGGACTAACTAAATGCATCGCCACGTGTTTGCTTTCTTTCTTCAAATGCACGGGCCAGCAGGGAGGTGGTTTCGATGAGAGGGCAGGGAAGTTCCAGTTTGCGAGTTTGCTATAATGACATAGAGTTATTGATTCATTGTGCGCTGCAGCAACAAGGCTATTCAAGACCGTAGAGAGAGCTTAATCAAATTTCCTCTGTAGCTGCTGTGCTGTAGTGGGAGGAGTATCCACTTAGATATATATGTCCCAATAGAACATCCAGTACAATCTCCAGACACGGCACTGGTGCTCTTAATGTTACTGACAGTAATGATAACAGGGTTTTCCTAACAGTTCAGTTGGATACCTGCGTACAAAGACGACGTGGCACTTAGAGATTGCATCCTCTAAATTGCGTCTTAATTCTTGAAGTACTTAACTACAAATAATTCCCAAGTTACTTTGTGATACAACTGCAACAGAATGGAAATTATAGAGGCACAAGTTGCCCTTTCACTGCCTCAGTTATGCAGGCAGATTCCCTGTCAATTCACATTCATGGACAACAATCGCCAGGTGATTTTGAACCATTCAAAAAAATCATTTCCTGAGAAAATGTGTTCTACAACCCCAAACACTGCCGATAAGTGTTGCACTTCAGGAGACAAGGTTCATGTCTGCCAGAAATGGAATGCAACCCAGATAGCCTCAATTTGTTAAATACAATTTTCTCAGGGCCTCTAAGAATAATATTAAATTTAGCACTAAAATGAAAATCTTTACATACTTTACCTCCAGCATGACCACACAGATTTGTTTGACACACTGGATGATGGCTTCAGGGGTCCCAGAGATTGTCACTGCTCGTTCCGTGGAGTTGGGCAGCATGTCTCCTGCCACCTGAACCTGGGCCCCTGTGGACTGGAGTAGAGTAAGGGGACTTTGAGGGATTTGCATGTTGACAGGATTCAATTTAAGCACGCAGGCTGCACTGTGCAGCACTCTCAAGAGTACGGGCGCTCACTTCTGCAAGGAAATTGAAACTGAAAAGAATTTATCAGCCTTTTTAACCCACTCTTCCATGTGCAGGCTGTACAAAAGACCCTACCCCTGCACGACCACCTTGTTATTCAAGATGCCTATCTTGGCCTCGTCTTTGATATTGGCGTCTGCTGTGACGTAGCCATCTGGAGGCACAACATGTCGCTTTTTGGACCATGCTTTTCGTGCTACATCTTCGTTTTTTTATTTACCCGCTTCCATTTGGTGACATCAACCTGAAGGCAGCGTCAAAGCGCTCCCCCACTTTTCAGATAGTGGAGCTTTTATACACAGTATGTTCATAGTGGTTATTAGACGATAACAAATGTCACTGGCTACCCTATGCTGTCACTTAGCGTGTTTAAAGCTGTGTTGGTTATTTAAATCATACTGGCAGCGTGGCTCTAGGGATGGCAGTGTTGGATGGTGGTTCCACCACTTTGATGCAGTTTGAAACAGCTCAACAGTTACGGAAACGCTTTGCATCAAATTTTCAACAAACATTAATGGCTCCCGGTAGATGAATCACACCAACTTTGTTGATCCCCTGTCATTGCCTCTAGCCCCACCAAGAGGTTGACATTTATGTTGTTCAGAGACATGCCTCTGAACTGTTGGGTGGATTGCTACAAAACTTTGTACAGATGGAGGTGCCATGGTAGCCCTATTCCTAAAGCACATTACCAAAGAACTGCAACATCTATCACCTATCCCGTCTCTTCCCGGCCCTGTCAAAACATACATTCCCATACACCTAGGCTGTGTTCTAACTTATGTTTCAAAGGTACATATTTTATATATTTGTTTATGACATATCAAAAATGTACTTGAAATCCACATGTCCTTGCTGTTTATCTTATTGCCTTACTGTCACTTCCTTTCAACCAATCATATATCAGATGGGGTGGGACTTATCACCCTGGCAACCCAGACAATGGAGAAGAAGTGTATTTTGATCCAAAGCTTGACTTTTCCCAAACCTAACAAAGTAATTTTGATGCCTTTGCTTTACCAAGCTTCTAACATATAGCTGTAGTTATGAAAGTGTCAACCAAAGTGTGATGGTTTGGGGGGGAAAGTGTCTTTTAAAATTTAAATACAGTTTAGTTGTATAGGAAACAAACATATGCTCTTCCTGGACTCAGTGTCACAACATGGTGGTGGTCTGGTGACACCCGGTTGTGATGTAGCACTGTGCTGTGTTACCTCCCTACATCATTGCGCCGCTCTTCTCTCGATGGCGGTGGAAGTATGATTATGAGACGGGTATGGTTTTATTTTTTTTAAATGATCAGGCTCAGCGTGTTGGCACGGTGACATTAGCATTTAGGTCAAAGCACAATCATGTAGCCCCAGCAGAGCTTCTTGATCATAATCTATATACGAGGGCATCCTTATCTTTGTGTAGATTCCCAGCATGTTTTGTGCCACTGCAGGCCTCGAAGTCGCTCACAACAGAGATAATCATCTGCTGATGTCTCCCTAAGCTTGGAGACTACACTAAAAATATTACACAATATAGCCTTACTTCCTCTGAATGAGTGCATGTCATCCTGACATCATTAAAGCCACTGATGAAGCAGTAGATAGAAGCTAAAACAAGCATTTATACAAAATATAATGAGTACTGCTTGTGCGTCCATCCTATGAGACTCATCAATCAAAGTTTGATTAATTGGAAAAAAAAAACAATTTCAAAATAACATGAATCAGTTTTCACATTTATCCGACATTAGACTGTTAATGATGAATGTAACGTTCAGAAAACGTAACTAACACAAAGGGTGCATCTTTTGCTGCATTGCATCTTCTCTTTGTCTTAAAAAAACAAGGGAAAAAACTCATCTATCGTCATCGTAATCTATTGGTTATCCATAAAATGTCTCACATACCTCTCTCATTTCTTTTATTTTGGAGCCTCCTTTCCCTATGAGGGAGCCGCACTGGCTGGCTGGCACAACAAGCCTTAAGGTGACGGGGGGCTTGCTGGTGGCTGGGCTGTTGCTCATGGAATTGATTATGTCCTGGAAAACAACAACACATATTTCATTTTGCACGAATAACATTTTCTCAGTGTGACCCCAAACATTCACGGTGTTAATTGTGTTAGTAATGACTATTCATACAAATCAATTTATAAACTTGAAAGTTGGTACAAATGAGCCGCTAAAGCGCATTTGTTTCACTCATCATCTCGGCGTTTTTATCTTCTCCGCTCGCCGAAAGAGCTCCGTTCGTTAGTTTGAAAATAACTAGCCTATTGGTCCTGCACATTTTACACAGATCAGTGAGGACACAGCAGTCAGTCTCCTCTTGGAGGTTCCAGTCACAGTAGTTACACAGCATCAGTTTGATGAGTGGCATCAAAGACGAGATCAGAGGAAGAGATAGCTCAAAGGAGACTACTTAAATCCCCCTATTAAAGTTTAGCGGTAACAGATACCTTAAACACATCCACTGTATATACTTTACATGCCCTATCAGACAAGCCTGCTACATTTTTTATTGACGACAAGCATTGCGTATGTAAAATAAAAACAAAAAACGTTTGCGGTCCAGTAACAGACAGTTTGTATCTGCTGTTTTAAACTGAAATATCCATCTAAGCAGACAAAAATTCAGATAAAATGACTGTTAAAACTCATCTACAGTGACGCAAGTTTCACACAACAATAATCCTTTCATCAATACCTCCTCAAATTTGTAGGCGATCATAGCGAAAGCCTTGAAGATGGTGTCTGTTGGTCCAGTGATGGTGACGATCCTCTCCGGACAGTTGCCTTCAGAAATATTGATACGTGCTCCACTCTGAAAAACATAGCACACACATATAGTTGATGGAGTCGATGCAGGTGACCTTAATCTCGGAATGGATTTTTACCGAATTTGAATAATCTATTCACCGATACTGAACATGATGCCACACTAGAATTACATGACAGTAGTCTGGAATAAGATGTTTGCATTGTTTACTGATTTTTTTGTGACTTTGCTGTGGAAAAAATGCACATATTGCTATTTTTTAATAACGTAGACGAAGCTTTTAATAAACTAAAACCCACCTCTTCTCGCATCTTTTTAACTGTTTCTCCTTTCTGGAAAAAAAAAATTAAAATTAATAATCACGATTATGAAAATAGTGAAAACAATGTATGGTTTTAATGCACAAGTGTAAATAAGAATGATCTAAAAATAGTAATAATAATAAATGCATACCTTTCCAATTATACTTCCAACCTCCTGCAATAAAAACAAAAAGAGAGAGAACAGTATGATAACTGCTGGCTACTGTTTGTCCTGAACAAGGTGTGAACTGTGCAGAGGCATGCAGAGGATAAACACAGCTTCATGGCGGTGTTGAGGGTTCCGTATGCATGTAATCACTTGTGATGTGCTTAGTGTGGCACAGTGGTTAGAGGGCAGAGAGGCAGTGCTGGCTGCAAGCGTCAACACTCCCTGACCTCACCTCAGTGAATGTGAGGGTTACAGCCATTGTGACGTTAAAGCTGCAGGCTTCACAGCGGCAGGTTCTTCCTTTGGCGTTCATTTATCAAGCACTATGCAAAATTTCACATTCAAGTCAACACTTTCACTTCAAGAGAAGCCCCAGCTACGACCCTTCTTACAGTACAGAGCTTTTATCTCCCCCTTCTGGCAATGAGAGAAATTACACAAACACTGTTTATGTGTGCTTGTGATGTTTGTCTTCACCATTGATCGCTTTCTCTTTCAGAGTATGATCCTTCCTCTGAACATGAGTTTCTTGTTTACCGAGATGCTTCTTAGGTTTTTTAGCCCTACTCCTATTTGCTGTAGCCTATTCTATCTGTGACTGCTTCCATCTTCAGCTCTGGCAAACCAGTTACTGCTGGCTGACAAAACACTCATCACTACTGGTGCACCAATGAAGGAATGTCACCACAGAAACCAGATTTTAAACTCTAGTATACTGCAAAATCCAGAAAGATTTACCAGGCACTGATAGCCTTAATCAGCATTGTGTTAACTTGCTTATCAGGGCTTTGATGGAGCTGTGAAAAAGTATTTCCCCACTAAAGATATGTTCTATTTTTGCACATTTGTCACACTTAAATGTTTCAAATCGTCAAACAAATGCTAATATACGACAAAGACAATGAAAGTAAACAGAAAATGCAGTTTTAAAAAGGTGGTTTAATTTATTGAAGTAAAATACTGTCCAGCTATATCTTTCCCAATGCGGAAAAGTAACTGCCCCTTTAGCTAACGATCTACTAAATGATCAAGTTCATTTGGCAATTGGTTTCAGTTTCACCGGCCACACCAACATATGACTACTGCCAGGTTTGTTGAATCTAAACATCACTTAAACAGAACCAAGAACAGAACAGCATGAGACAAGAACAGCAGGAAGGTACAACAAGAACAGATGAGAAACAAAGTCATTGACATTTACCAGTCTAGATCTAGAAGGTTACAAAGCCATTGCTAAGGCTCTGGGACCCAAAGAGAACCACAGAGAGAGCCATCATGCACATATGGAGAAACATGAAACAGTGGTGAACCTACGAATGGCCGGCCGACCAAACTTTCTCCAAGAGCAGGTCGACATCTCATCCAGGAGGTCTCAAAAGAACAGCAGGCCTCACTTTCCTTAATGTAGGTCTGTTTACATGATTCCACAATAAGGAAGACACTGGACTAAACCGGATGTATGGGAGACTTGCAAGGTGAAAACCATTCCTGACCAAAAAGAACATCAGGGTTCGTCTGGCATTTGCACAAAAAAAAAAAAAAAAAAAAAAGATCTAAATGAGCCCAATAACTTTTGAGATAACATCCTGTGGACTTATTAGTCAAAGGTGGAACTTTTTGGAAGACATGGGTCCATCTGGCATAAAGCTAAATACCACATTCCACAAGAGGAACATGATGCCAGCAGTGAAACGAGGAGGTGTTAGTGTGATAGTTTGGGGCTGCTTTGCATTCACCGGACCTGGACGACTTGTCATAATTGATGGAACCACGAATTCTGCTCTCTATCAAAAAAATCTTCCTGGAGAATATCCCCCCCATCAGTTCATGACCTGAAGCTCAGCTGTTATGCAGCATGGCAGTAATCCAAAGCACAGAAGCAAGTCCACCACTGAATGGCTCAGAATGAACAAAATTAAGGTTTTGGAATCAAAGGCTGGACTTGAATCCAACTGGCAGGCTGTGGCAAGACATTAAAAGGGAAGTTCATGCTTGAAAACCATCTAATGTGGCCGAATTAAAACTATTCTGCAGTGAAGAGTGGGCCGTTTAGCTGCAGTTGTTGCTGCCAAGGGTGACCCAGACAGTTATTAGGTTTAGGGGGGTAATTATGTTTTCACAGGGGTGATATAGGTTTTCAATAAATCTTCAATAAATCATCATTTTTTAAAATTGCATTTTGTGTTTTGCGCGCTATCTTTGTCTAAGTACATGTTAGTTTAATGATCTGGAACATGTTAGTGTGAGAAATATGCAAAAACACAGGACATCAGGAAGGTCGCAAATGCTTTTTCACAGCACTGTACACATAAATGGATGTAATAGACTTTAATTTATACGTTGAAGTCCCCCACTCTAGCTGTAATGTACAACACTCTTCATTCCTACTCAAAAGATGTACAGCAGCTTAGAAAAAAAAAAATCTCTTTCTGCTTTAAAAGGGCTTAGATGTAGCTCCACACCATTACTTCGTTTAGAATGCCTCGATCTATATAGTGCCTGTTTCTCTCTTCAGTCAAGGCAGCTCTGTTCAGACAGTAAAGCTACTCTACCCTACACAATGGCAAGTTGTGACATTCAACCATACGTGTTGGAACTAATTCTGAAGAATAATGACACAGAAAGGCCTACAGCTCCACAAGCTGGTTTGTTACATATGAAACCCCAGAGGTCTGAATCTGCATTTTTAAGACAGTCATTGATCATGATGTATCTTTAGCATATAAAAAGTTTAAAAACATGTTGAGGTTAATTGGTGATTCTAAATTGTCTGTAGGTGTGAATGTGAGTGAGCTTGGTTGTCTGTCTCTAAGTGTAGCCCTGTGATAGACTGGTGACCTGTCCAGGGTGTCCCCTGCCTTCACCCTGAGTCAGCTGGGATAGACTCCAGCCCCCCGCGACCTTAGTGAGGGTTAAGCGGTGTATAGATAATGGATGGATGGATGGACATGTTAACAAGGTAAAAAAAAAAAAAAAAGAAAAAAAGCTTTTTATCGGAGGGGTTGTTAAACAAGACAAGAAAACCAAGCACTCAATTCAGACAGCTAACCTAACAGTAAATCCATTAAATACAATCACATTTTTAATGCAAAAGTAATGCTTCAAGTACACTGAGAAACGTGTGCCCAAAACAAAGAAAACAGCTCGAAAACTAAACCACCACTTCTAGAAAACACATCTGCTCAAGTCCAGCAGGGCACCTGTGATGCTATATATACTCTACCACCAAGTCTTTCAAATGCTGTGGCCAGAAAAGGGGGCATGAATACGTAATCCAACCCAGTAGTTGCTCAGTTTGAAGGATAGGCTCTTCCTGTGCTGTGGAACAGGGATGTGGGTCATTCTGCCAAACTCCTCCCTTGTGGCAGTCGTGGCTGTGGCCCTGCCTGGCTGCAGGGTTATTCAAACAATTGCCAGGTCACTGGGTTTGCAAACACCTACATGAGCAGCCACGCAGCAGATGAACCACATGGGTACTCATGGACTGCTTGGCACACGAGACAAAAGGAAGATGTTGGCTCCAATCTTCGTGGCACACAATCCACCGACATGGCAGCTCCGTGGAGATGTGTAGTGCAGGGTTTCCAGCTGCCCAGCTGCCAGCAGACCTCCCTAAAGACTTTAGTACTGAAACTGAGCTACTGCTACCGAACAGTCATTCTGTTCTACGCATACTTTGCCCTTTCACAAACTCTGGGAGGCCAAGTGCTTGCAGCTATTAGGTGTCAGAAAATCATGTGCAGCGAGGGCAGGAAACCACAGATTGATCTTACACAAGCAGGCAGCACACATACCAACTCTAATCACCTCCTAAACAGAAGAAAGGAGAGAGGATGCTACGTAGAAGTGCCTGAAAAAACAAATCGACAAGATGTTGGTGCCCATTTACGGGTTATGCCCTGGGAAATCTGGAAACACTAAGGGTAGACGGGAACACACTGAGCGGAGTCGACAGATAAGAAACACCGCAATAGAAGTGTATCGCTCTTAAAGCTTGGAAGTGGAGTCTCTACTTGTAAAAGCCTGTGAACCTCAGTAAAACTTGTTTGTATAATCACACAATAAAGTTAAGTAAAGCTAGAGCAGAGCAGTGCTGTGGTAATGGAAGGATAAATACATCTGCTGCCACTTAGTGAGCGCAGAAATGTTCTTCCACCAAGAAACAGCAATTGGTGGAAGAGTAAAAAGAGCCAGCAAGAGTCCTGCATCTCTTTCAGTGCCATTATACAGCATAAAGGATTAAGAAGCTGCAAACTACCATGGGAGCTGCAGAACCAGCACCTTTGTTTTACTCCCAGATGGATGCTGCTGTTTAGATGGAACCTGTTGCCATGGTGAGATTGGGCAGAACATCGGACCAGAGGGATCGGATGAGATGATTGTCTTATTTTGTTGATCTTTCAGAGCGAAAGTCAGGGTCAGGCGCAACCAAATATAAATATGGTTCTTTCTGTCAAACAACTCGAGACTGTTTTTTATTTATTTATTTATTTATTTATTTTTTACAAAAGTAAAGCTATTGTTGTGCAATGATTTTAAATTAATTTTGAGAGCGGCTGAGATTAGTGCGACTTAAGAAAGGCCCTTCAGGGATTTGGTACTGCATTTCCTAAATAATGAAAATTGGAGAGGCTGCTATTAGGCACGACTGTGGGCCAAACTCCAAGAAGACGCTGGATCCCACATTTCCAACAAGGCAACCAATTGCATATATTATTGCTTCAATCTCCATGCACATAACTTGTTTATCGGGCACCTTATGCCTTCGTTGGACAGTGGAGAGATGAAAGGCAATGAGGGAGGAGAGCGATTGGGAAATGCATGCAACAGAGACTGCTATCTGGACTCGAACATTTGCTGTTCATGGCCGCTGCCTCAACCCACAGGCTAACAAGATACCCTCACAGGTGATACTATGCAGCCAGGTCTATAGGTTTTTGGACAGTAATAAACTTTTGATCATTTTGCACACCACCACAGTGGATTTGAAATGGAAGCAATCAAGATGTGATTGATGTGTAGACGTATTGTGATAACCGTTCAGGAATGTTTACATAATGCAGCCTCTATATTTCCATAGGATTAAAAGTAGTTGGACAATTGACTGATAAGTGGTTTTATGGTCGCCTCAAAATTAAGGAGAAAAAGGTCGACATACAAGTGGTGTTCATGGGAAGTCTGTAAATGTGTCCCAAAGAGATGGTGATTCAAGTGAATGAGGCTATGATAAGACTAAACAAAAAAAAAAATAGCCCTATCAGAGAGGTAGCAGAAACTTAACAGTGGCCAAATCAAGAATTTCTCAAAACAAAGAAATGCACTGCCAAGCTTAGAGGCAAAACTGAAGGCAGAAAGACCCACAATAGGCAGCAACTGAAGGCAGTTGCAGTCGGGGCCTGGAAAAGCATCTCAAGGGAGGAAACTCGGCATTTGGTGACGTCCATGGGTTCCAGACTTCAGGCAGTCATTGACTGCAAAGGATTTGCATCCAAGTATTAAAAATAATCCTTATATTTATAATTATGTCAGTTTATCCAATTGCTTTTGAGCCTGTGAAACGGAAGGGACTGTGTAAAAAATAGCTGCAATTACGAAACAGTTAATGCGATATTTTAGTTAAACCCCTTGAGTTAAAGCTGAAAGTCTGCGCTTCAATCACATCTTGACTGATTCATTTGAAATCCACTGTTCTGGTGCACAGAGGAAAAAAAGAAAATGACAAAAATGGTGTCACCGTCCAAACACTAACACATCTGTGTATACATGTGAATTCCCAGGCTGAGTCCTACTCTGCATATAACCAGTAAACTGGCCTCAAAAATCAGCAGTGGAGTGGAGCAATATGTGTGTGTAGAGGGACCTCATTTAAACAAGTACTGCTCCGAGTCCGGCTGGTTAATGAAAAGATCATCAATGATTTAGAGGCCCCTGCAATGAAGAAAATAATCCCCTCTATGTCATATCCGCAGCCACTCTGTGCCTACTTACTTTTCCATGCATGAGGAGGCGGATGGTAAGGGTGACATTGAGGCCACCCTCTGACTGGACTTTGGTGGGCTCCATGCTGGGAGAGGCGAGACTGGTCCCGTTATAGGATGTCCTCAGAAGGAGAAGGAGTACGGTGGTGTTCCAGCCAGCCAGTCACCTGCCGAACCCAACGTCACACAAACATACATGTTAACACCGTCACACGTGGCTAAAACAGGCAAAAACGTGCAAGGGGGTGCAGTTCTGTTGCACTGGATGCACAAACTCAACTTTGCAGTCGTAGTCAAGCTGTAAGAATCACAGCACATTAGTGTCAAGGAAGTCCAGTGCTGAATCTTTAACGGATCTTTCTTTAATGGTTCATTAGTTTGTGGCAGTGTGTATTTCTCATGTCTGCAATAAAGAATCATTTGGGTCTGTTTCTTGGGATTTATTATGCACGAATGCTTAAACAGTGAAGACTTTTGGTTAAAAATAAAACACTGGAGTGTTTGCAAATGCAGCACAGCTAAAAATCACTTTATGAGTGTTTGCTCCGTGAATGATACATAATTGTGCAGAGAGATAACCAAGTCACACACAACCCCACTTGGTTATGTATTTTTTAATTTGCTCTCTTAAAATAACTAAATAACCTCAAGTTTTGTTTTTAATTGGAGACCACATTAGAAGAGAGAGGACTGCTGCTAAACTCTTACATGGCCGATGTAAGGATACATCAGAGACACGTTCCAAATTATGGTACTGACCACTACAGGAGCAAAATTATTCAAATCATTTGTCACTGAGGACTGGACTGTGGAGACTAAATGATAATGAACACATCGACTAAACTCCTGAACATGAATGTCTCTTTGTAATAACGTTCGCTTGAAGGTGCAGCACGATGACTTGCAGAATCCTCAGTGGCAAAGTCTTCACTGGTAAAAGGCTCTTTGCTCTGAGTCAGACATTAAAGTCTTCCTCCTGTGCCCTCATTACAGTTACTCAAATTACTTTGCTCTCCTCTGCCTTTGCTATTAAGGCAAAGGCAAACAGGCCAGTCTGTATGCATGGGCGGCTGTGCCAAAAAGTCAAAGCTACTTTTTTGGTGTAGAATAAGTTATAAGAAAGGACTTTGTGTTCCGGTGTGCTCTGTCTTGTTAAGTCTATATTATGTATAAGCCTATTACAGCGAAAAGACCAAATAAAGAAAGAGTTGCTGCAGAGTTGCCAAGTTAGGACTGACCTTTATTTATGTGATTTTTTTTAACACCTCCTGTATCATATGATAAAGAGACTTCATTTTCTCTTTTCCAAAATCCCCAAGTTGCTTGAATAGCCGTCCCTCCGCCACAAGTGTTGCTCTGTAAACCTCTGGCTGTTGTCATTTCACACAGACAACATGATCCAAATGCTTATTTCAAGTCCGTATCCGATACAGTAGACTGCCTGATGTAATCACCCACCCTGTTGAATTTCTGCTGTTATCATTACCTGCAAGTTTAGTGTTTAATGTTGCTAGAGATATCAAACATCCCCGGGGTATTCTCCCCAATCTCTATTTTCTGCTATTCTTTTTTTTTGTGTGTGTGGCTTGTTTGGCTATGGGTTCTAATTTCCAGCCAGACACAACCTTAGGCTACTGTTGTTCTTGTGCTCATATGAAAAAAAAAAAAAAAAAACATATTCTGTGAAAAACAAAGATGAAGAGAGACTGTATAAATCAGTGTAACAGCCCCTCTTTGGATAACGAGGTAAAGTTGGTATTCATGGAGAAAGGAAGGATAAGGGTGGCAGAAGAAATGGTGCTATCAGTTCTGAGGCGAGGGTGAAATCTTCAATCAGATACTGAGTGGGTAAAGGGTGGGTGCTGGTGGGTGACCTCCAAAACTCCACCTATAAAATACTGTGGAAATGGTTTAGCCACTTTAGATGTGGATTCTTATCCATCACACAACACCATCAGGAAGGCATAGGATTGGTCCTAAATTCATTCTGCAGCATGACAAGAGCCCCACATGGAGCCACAGTCATAAAGAAGCATGTGCAGAGTCCCCACAGAGCTGTGACAACACGGGAGATACGTCCCCCCCCGACACTTCCCACAGCAAAAACATAAAAGAAACAGAAGACTGATGTAACTGAGAGATGCAACAATGGCTGTTTGCCAACACCTATACAATCATACAACATAGTATGCCAGAAAAAAGATTTAGTATGTCCAATACATCGTATATCATATGCAACGTGCCAAAAATACCAGGATGTCCCAGTACATCTAGTCTTATCTTGCAGTATGCAAGCCAGCATGTTTTTCTGATAATGCGCAGTGGAAGAAATGTCACATAGTTAAGTGTTGTGAGTGTTGAAGTACAAAAACATGTTATTTCAAACAAATATCAAAGCTTAAGGCGACCTTTTACAACAAAGTTGTATGCAGACTGCATGCAACAGTAAGTTCTTTGTAAGGGCAGCTGTATTCTGTACTTAAAGGAGAAAAAAAGAAGAAGCATGTGTTGTGGAATGCAGGGAATGTCTTAAACAAGGCTGTTTTTAATTTTTAAAAAATGAACTGTGAACTCATACAACCACTGGATCTATTGTGGAAAATGATGTGGGTCAGGATAGATTTCATGATATGTTAACTTGTTGCCCAGTGCATGAATGTGATGCTTTCCTTAATGTAGATAAAGACAGTTCCAGCATGAACTGATGCAGACATGGCACAAATTGGACCATACAAACAAACAAAATTAAAAAGAAAGAACAGAATGCAGACCCTCCCTATGAGTTATGTCCCCCCACTACTCAAATACAACCTTCATGGAACCAACTACTTAACTCTTGAACACCTGTGAATACCAGTAAACAGGTGAGCAATGGTGGCTTTAAAGGCAAAGGACTGATACATCAAATTTTGAGGTATTTATATTATATTGACATATTATTTTTTTAAAAAATAGCTTTTAGAGGCTTTGTCATGAGTGCCCTTAAAAATATAAGGCACTACATAAATACAGATATATTCGCGGATGTAAATATTTGGGGTCGTGCCACCACTCTCACGCGCGTGACAAGTTGCGCTTAAAAGGCTCGTGCGAAGTGACGCGTTACTGTTTCCTGTTTAATTTAAAAAACTAAACTTATTGCCATTAAAATGGATCCAGCGTGAAACTGAGAATAAGCCGAGGAAACTGTGAAAAAACGGAACGAGGCCAACAACACCGTACACGGCCAAGACGGACACTTTCAGGTGAAAAAAAAAACGCTTGCATCCGACAACACGGACGTAAGTTAGCAAGTGTGCTATCGAAGCTAGCAGCGAGCTAACGGTTGCTGCGCTGCTGCGATGGAAGCAACACACCTGGACACCTGTGGACCTCACGTAACTATTCATCAACAAGTCCATCCTGGAAAGGAGCTAAAATGAATGTTCGTCTCCATGAAGTGCCTTCATCTCATAAACGTGAGTAAAATAACCCTCTCTCCATTTCTTGTCTTATGGTGTCATTTTGGATACTCAAGTTGTCCGTTTAAAACGCTTTCAAACACATACTCATCTCCCTAAACTCAAATTAAACACGCGGATTTTTAAAATGTATTTATTTTTTGGTGTGTATGTGATTTGTTGTTGTTTACACACCTTCTGTGCTTGTTGTGTGGTTTGATATTGAGCTGTGGTGCAATGTGTAGTTGGCTTAGCAAATAATTAAAAAAAGAAATGCTGTTATTTATTTATTTATCAAGAATAACTGTGAGGTGTCAGTGACTTGATAGGTGCACTTGTAACACTGGTTTGATGTGAAGATGAGCTTTAAATATTAGGTGTTACAGGGTACGTATTCCATCTGACTTTTAATCTGTTTAGAAAAGACAATGCTGACCTCTTATGTGACTGATATGTGGCTGCTCTAAACCAAAAGCTCCTCTTATGATCTTGTGTGTGCCTTTTAGCATTAGTGTGACCGTCATAGCACGCCTGGATGTGCTTTTCAAGTTAGACACCCTTCAGAAAACCTGGATAGGCATAGCAGGGTTTTGGATAGGAATCAAATTAGACTAAACGACTGAAGTGACTTGGCTCATAATACTGTTAAAAATGTACTCAGTCCATGTATGACAGTAGGTTTAAAAAGAAGAAGAAAATGCTTTCTGTTTCTTACGTTATTGAAATTAATTTGGTTATTGCAAAGTGATAGATGTGCTGTCAAAACACATTACTGACAAAAAAGCAAATGTTGTGCTCGGCTGTGCTTTTTGCACCTCTCGGTGACACAATCTTTTCAAGCCAATTAGCAACACCTAGAGAACAGTGAACACCTTAATGTGCTGACTTATGGATGGGCAAAAAGAAAAAAAAACATATCTGCTCAGATAAATGTGTCTGACTTGCTTGCTTCAGGTCTAATGATCACAGTGTGTTTGCTAAAAGGTGGCAGACAGCGGGATGTGTGTAGCGACTAGAGGCGTTAACAAGCTCATGTGTCAGGTCACCATCTACACTCTGTCCTCACGTGGATCAGCTCACGACAATAAACTATTCAGATGTTGTATTGGTCTGTTTGCCACCCCTCTACACATTAGATTGCAGGGAAGCTGACATCATATCATGAGTATTATGTACTGAATCTTACTGTACTACTATTATAATTTTCTCCACATTCATTTTAAGTTATCTGTATCTTGCCCGTAGTGGTGCACTAAACCAAAAAAAGCAATGTTTGCGCATTTTTGCTTGTTTTTTTTTTTTTAAAGAGGTGTCCTTGTACCTTGGCATAACTTGTAAACTTAGGTTTAAGAGTTATTTTTTAAAATCTTTTTTGGTGCAGGATTGATGAGCTTGCATGCTGGTGACCTTGATGACCATTTCTTTCTCAGTTCACACTTAGTGTTTTGGGTCGTGAAGGTTTTGTGTTTCTTACTGTCATTGCTGACTCGACTTTAGAGTTGCCTGCAACGGAAGGTCATTGTCGACAGCACACAAACAGCATGGTTTTACCTCTGTACCACCATCACAGATACTGCATTAGCTATCAGTTCCTCGGGGGCTGAGCCGAGGCACATAAAGATTCGAGGGTTTGCTCTTGCAGCCAACAACAAAACATTTGACATGTGCTGCTTGTGGCTGAGACATTTTACAGCAGGGATGGCGTTCTGACGAGCTTATATCTTGAA